ATCAGGGAGAACAATTAGGAGTCTATTGCACGAAACTGCTGTGGTGGTAGTCGTGGTCAGGGGGTGGTAGAATCTGAGGAAATTGCAGCTGACTGGCTTGTCTGAAGGATCAGCATCGGGAATGGGAAAAGTAAAGGATCCAGAGCTGGACTCTGGCAGGTCCAGGGGTCCCTGAAGGATGGACAGTGTAGGCGAGGGAGGGAAGAGGGAGGCACGAGATTCTTTCTGGTCACCAGCCAGGCCTCTCCGCACTGTCTGAGACTCAAGTTTATTTTATGATTTAGTGTTTCGGGGACGGCACAGGAGTGGCATTCTGATGATGAATTCTTTTATCAGTAAAAACTTTCCAGAACATTGATATGCATAGGTGTATGGGGAACAGCCCAGAGGTGGTATTAGCATAGTAAAGGCAAAAGTTAGTTCTTTGTGAGCAGGGGTCAATAGTCTGTTTATCGCTTAATGAGAAAAATAGGTCTTTCAGGAATGCAATGTTGTTCCCATAACCACAAAAGAAGTTCCTAAGGTAAGTTCCTTCACAAAGTACAATCAGCATATCAAGGGCAGAATGAGTCACTCCAAATATCAATCAACAAGGTGCCTTGGGGGTCGGTGATCAAGCAGAAACAATTGAGTCGAGGTGGATATTGGGTCACCATCTGACGGTAAGAGTCCGGGCAACTTACCTTAACCTCACAAGGAGTTTTTTCTCAACTTGTGAGTTCAGAAATGGCTGCCAACACTTTGCTGAGTAACTGGAAGAATGGTCCTTGCTTCACTGAGATGAGAAAGGACTACACACAGGAGGATCCGAGGAGAACATGGAATGTGTCCACCTCTACCTGCCTCTTCCTTCTCCACGTGGAGATGTCACAGCAGCCAGCTGATTCCACAGACCACGTGGAGGTGAGGGGGCGGGGCTAAAGATACATACATGAGCGTCAAAACCATATCAAAGGTCTGTAAAGACACAACATTGGACAAAGTCACCTAAGGGGTGAGGGCAAGCAGCAAAGAGTTCCAAGACAGCCTTCAGCTACAACACTACTCAGAGTTTCGGGGGGAAAGAGCCACCTGCAGCCGACTGAGGAGAAGCGGCCAGAAATGTAGGCAGGCTGTCGCAAAGAAATTCTGGGGAAAGTTACATCAAGTGCTGGCAGATCCTGTAATTCACAACATGAAAAATGGTGTGCAATGTGGAAACCACTGGTGACCTTGGAGTGAACAGTTCCGGTGGAGTGGTGGGGAGGGATTGACTGCACTGGGCTTGAGAGTAAGAGGAGAGAAGTCAGAATCTTGTTGATGTCAGTTCTTGCAAACCAGTCGCAGTTGTATTTTGACATCTTACACAAACAGTTCAAAATGCTGAAACTCTTCCCATGGAAGATTTTAAAACGCAGCTTAGAAAGTTGTTTCCAGGTCCAGGGGTCAAGTACGAGTTTTGTGCGCTCCCTGTTTCTGGCCACAAAATAGAGCCGATCCTCGTTACTCATCAATTTCATGTTTGTGAGTTCACCTACCCACTCAAATTTACAGGTAAGCCCAAAACCAGTATAATCCTTTCCTTGGCCATTCCCAGACATGCACAGAGTGGCAAAAAAACAACTTGACATTGCTCAATGCACGCTTCCCAGCTGAGGTAGACACTCTTGTTTCAGCCGTCATGCTGTAAACAAGTGTCCTTTCCCTGGTCTTTTTTTTTTTTTTTTTTTTTTTTAATGTATTTGAGAGACAAAGCATGAGTGGGAAAGGAGCAGAGAGAGGGAGACACAGAATTGGAAGCAGGCTCCAGGCTCTGAGCTGTCCACACAGAGCCCGACATGGGGCTCAAACCCATGAACCATGAGAGATCATGAACTGAGCCAAAGTCGGATGCTTAACCGACTGAGCCACACAGGTAACCTTCCCTGATCTTTCTAATGAGCCACCCACATACTCTTCCCTACGTTTTTCACATTTTGTGCTTCTTGTTGGTGATTTTGCTGCTTAAAATGGCTCTCAAACATAGTGCTCAAGTGTTGTCTTATGCCCCCAAGCACAAGAAGGCTGTGATGTGCCTCATGTAGAAAATACTTGTGTTAGGTAAGGTTTCCCCAGGCATGAGCTGTGGATAGTGCTGCTGGCCATCAGTTCAACTAATGAATTGACTATACATGTTACATAAGGTGTCTTTGAACAGACACACACATAGAACAGGGTTACATATGGATAGGTTCACAAAACTGTCATGACCAGAGGCGGGCAGTAACCTAACCTTGTATTAGCCCTACAAGTAGTGGTTCAGTCTTGCTCCCTGTTTGCTAAACTTCATACAGAACACAGCTCTTGGGAATGACGAGAATCAACTGTAACATAATGGGAATATTTTCAAACATCTTTTTTAAAAATAACATCAAGGGGACCTGTGGCTCAGTCGGCTGAGCGTCTAACTTCGGTTCAGGTCATGATCTCAAAGTTGGTGAGTTCGAGCCCCATGTCAGGCTTTGCACTGACAGGTCAGAGCCTGTTTTGGATTCCCTGCCTCTTCTCTCTCTGCCCCTCCTCTGCTGGCTCTCTTTCTCTCAAAAATAAACATTAAAAAACAATAAAAATTAAAAAAATAAAAATAATGCCAAAAAAGCAGGCACCTTTAAAAAAATTTTAGGGGTGCCTGGGTGGTTCAGTCGGTTGAGTGTCCGACTTCAGCTCAGGTCATGATCTCACAGTTCGTGGGTTCAAGCCCCGTGTTGGACTCTGTGCTGACAGCTCAGAGCCTGGAGCCTGTTTCGGATTCTGTGTCTCCCTCTCTGACCCTCCCCTGCTCTCTCTCTCTCTCTCTCAGAAATTAAAACATTTAAAAAAAATTTAATGTTTATTTTTGAAAGAGAGAAATAAAACATTTAAAAATTGTTTTAATGTTTATTTTTGAAAGAGAGAGAGAGAGAGAATGCAAGCAGGGGAGGGACAGAGAGAGAGAGACACAGAATCTGAAACAGGCTCCAGGGTCCAAGCTGTCAGTGCAGAGCCTACTGCAGGGCTTGAACCCACAAACTGCAAGATCATGACCCTAGCCAAAGTTGTATGCTCAATGGTTTAAGCCACCCAGGTGCCCCTAACACTGGTACTTTTTAAATTGTTTTTTAATTTTTTCATTCCAGTATCAATATACAGTGTTATATTTGTTTCAGGTATATAATATAGTATTCAACACTTCTATACATTACTCAGTGCTCATCATGATACAGGTACCGTTTATCCCCATCACCTATTTCATCCACTCCCCCAGCCCCCTTCCCTCTGGTAACCAACAGTTTGTTACCTATAGTTAAGAGTCTGTTTCTTGGTTTGTCCTATTTTTTCAATTACTTGTTGAACTGTTAACTTTACTTTGAAAGAATAGATTTTTTAAATGTTTATTTGAGAGACAGAAAGCGTTGTTAGGTGAGGAGAGGGAGAGACAGAATCCTAAACAGGATCTACACTGACAGCCCAAAGCCCAACTAGGGGCGCCTGGGGGGCTCAGTCGGTTAAGCGTCCAACTTCAGCTCAGGTCATGATCTCACAGCTCTGTGGGTTCGAGCCCTGCGGCTCTGACAGCTCTGAGCCTGGAGCCTCCTTCTGATTGTGTGTCTCCCTCTTTCTCTCTGCCCTTCTCTCACTCGTGATCTCTCTCTCTCAAAAATAATAAACATTTAAAAAAAAAAGTCAGAAGTTAACCCACTGAGCCACCCAGCCACCCTGAAAGGACAGTTTTGGTTTTTTTTTAAGAGCACCTGCTAGGAAGCAGATCTTTAACAGACACATTGAAAAAAGTCTCAGCAAATTTGATATACCTGTCTTTTTGCAAAAGAAAATTAGTGGGCGCCTGGGTGACTGTTGGTTACTGGACTCTTGATCTCAGCTCGGGTCTTGATCTCAGGGTTGTGAGTTAGGCCCTGTGTTGAGCTCTGTACTGAGAGTGGAGCCTTCTTAGAAGGAAAGAAAGACAGAGAGATAAAGAAAGCAAGCAAGAAAACGTGTATCAGACCATACAAACTTCAAGACCATAATTACCTGTGGGGAAGAAACAGAAGGGACTGAGAACAATGCCTTTGATTGTGTCTAGATGATACTTTAAAAAAAAATTTTTTTTAATGTTTATTTCTGAGAGAGAGACACACACAGAACCTGAAACAGGCTCCAGGCTCTGAGCTAGCTGTCAGCACAGAGCCCGAGCGGGCCTCGAACCAACGAACCGTGAGATCATGACCTGAGCTGAAGTCAGAAGCTTAACCGATTGAGCCACCCAGGCGCTCCTAGATGATACTTCTTAAAACTATGAAATAAATATGGCCTGAGAGGTTAAATCTGAGCAATGGGTAAATGGTTCCTATTCTATTCTCCTTCTGGCATACTCATATACGTAAACGTAACTGTGAAGAAATAACACTACTGTAACACCGGACTGTTTGCTGGAGCGCCACCACCATCGGATGAACGCCTCAAGATTGATCGGCGATGGCACTGACCCTACCAAAAGGTCGGGACGCGCCATTCCAATTTCTACCAAATAACTCGATGGCTTTAAGACGCGGTCCCAGGTTGCAACCTCACCGCTTTAAAGCCTCAAGTTACAGGCGCGCAAAACACCATATTAAACAACTGCATGAAAGAAGGTCCACGTCTGGGGGCGGCGTGCAGGGGTGAGACGGGACAAGTGCCAGCCACCCATCAAAGGCTGGGGACAGAGGCGCACGCCTGGCCTTCAGCGGACCGCGGACCGCAGCCGAGCCCTGCAAAGCCTGCAAAACAAATCGAGCGTGCGGCTCCCCTGGATCCGACAGCACCGGAAACGGCAACTCCCACTGGGGGCGCTGCGAACACACGAGTGGAGGCTGCCTTCCAGGAAGCCAAAAAAAAAAAAGGGGGGGGTGAAGAAAGAAAGAGAAAAAGGAGGGACAGCGGTGACCGGGCCCCGGCCGCCGCCCCCGCGCCGCGCCCCCTCCCCGTCGCCGCCCGGGCCGCCGCCCTCGCGTCCAGCCGCTCCCCGGCGGTCCAGCCCTCAGCCCCCTCTGCCGGCCCGGCGCTGCCCGCCGCCGGGGACCTCAGGTGCGTACCCCGCCCCCGCCGCGGCCGCCATTAGAAGTGGCTGCTTCTCCTAGAACTTTCTCCGCTCGCGGGGCTCGCGAGGGGGAAGACTGGGGCGGGGGAGGCAGGCCGTCCGTCCAGGCGCACGGCGGGAGGCGCCCCCGTCACCGTCCAGGCGGCTCCGGAACCCCCTTCCCCGCGGGCCGGGCCCGGTAGTGGGGGTGGGGCGGGGAGGTCCCACCGCGGGGACAACGGTCGCGCGCACGGACGCGCAGCCCCGTCCTCTCTGATTGGCTGGGCGGGGGCGGCGGGGGCGGGCGCCTGCAGGCTCTGGGCTCTCTGGGCACGGTGCGCGTGAGGTCACGCTCGGCCTGGAGTACGTGGGGCTCTCCCGCCGCGTGCGGACGTGCTTGATTGGGTAGGTGAGGGGCGGGGCCGCGGCTGTTGCCTGGTAACTGCTGGGGGCGTGGGGACTCCGCCCCCCACGTCGCGCGTGGCGAAGGGCGCCCGGCGTGGGATCTCGCGTGGATTGTGGCGGAGAGCGGATTGGGTCGACCTGTCTGTTAGCGGAGGAGTCTCCGGCCCGGCGCTGCGATCCGTCTTGGTGATGGCTTAGAGTTCAAGGGCAGAAGGGCCTTCTCCATCCGTCAGACGAAAGCTTTGCTGTTTTACTAATAGCTTTATTGAGATAGGTCGTAAAATGCTCCCTTTATAGTGTATGGTCCATGGTCTTCGGTCCACTCAGAGAGCTTTGCAGTCACCACTGTCACATGTCAGGGACTTTTCCGTCACCCAAAAAGAAGCTCCCTTTCCCATCCCAGTCCCCTGCAACCGCCAGCGTCCTGTCTACCTCGGTGGTTCTCCCTGTTCTGGACGTTTCCCGTAGTTTGTGCCTGGTGTCTTTCCTTTTTTTTTTTTTTTTTTTATGGCCGAGTATAGTATCCATCGTATAGTATGTAGATGTGCCATGTTTCCCCCTCCCTGCCCCCATCAATCGATGAATATTTGGGTTATTTCCACTTTGGGGCTGTAATAAGTAGTCCTGTTAGATGGACCTTTGCGTACACGTTTTTGTGCGGACCTGTTTTTTACTCCATTGGGTATATACCGAGGAGTGGAATTGCTGGGCCCGTCTTTGGCTTTCAAGGGGAACAGTTTTCGTGTTTTGGTGGCCACCAGTTTCGGTGGTTTGTGTGACTGGCCCACGGGGGTCTTCAGTTACCCACAGGGCTTGGTGCCAGGCTGCAGCAGGTGTTAACCCGCAGTGCTGGTGTGGACTGGGTCTCAGTTTTCCCTGCCTGCCTGCTGGTTAGCTCCTGAAGCGGGCTGTCTGAGCTCGGGGTCTTCACCTGGACCTTTACCTGGAATGCTGGGACCTTCTGTTCCTCATTCTCAAGCTGCCCAATTTGGGAAATCCTGCGCGCATGCGTCCATCGGCTTATCCCTCTCCGTTACTGTTTCCACTGCTCTGGGCCGTTTCAGGGGTGGTCCGGCTTTCATTTCGCTTTTATTACCTGTTGCTCCGCCGTGTCTATGCAGGTCTATCTCACTGGAGAGCAATGGAGATGGAGATTATCCACCTTTGTTTGCTGGTGCCCTTCCTGTGAGCAGTGTTTGCTTTCACATACCAGATGCTCAAAACATATTTTAAAATTTTTATTAGTTTATTTTGGCTAAGCTAAAGTTCTTGACTAGTTGTTAGTGTTTAAATTTGACTAATCTTATTCTGTGACCTCGAAAACACTTATTATTTCTGGTTCTCTTCCATACTCCTTGCTGATTGCAGAATAGAATAACTTGTTGTCTTAAAATCTGTTATTTATTTATTTTAATGTTTTTTAATCTTTAGTTTTAAAATTTTTAATATGTTTTATTTATTTCTGAGAGAGGGAGAGAGCGTGAGCAGGGGAGGGTCAGAGAGAGGGAGACACAGAATTTGAAACTGGCTCCAGGCTCTGAGCTAGCTGTCGGCACAGAGCCCAACGCAGGGCTCGAACCCACAAACCATGAGATCATGGCCTGAGCCAAAGTTGGACGCTTAACCGTCTGAGCTACCCAGGTGCTCCTAATCTTTATTTTTGAGGCTGACAGACAGTGTGAGCAGGGGAGAGGCAGAGAGGGAGGCACAGAATCTGAAGCAGAGGCTCCAGGCTCTGAGCTATCAGCACGGAGAGGCTCAAACTCATGAACTGCAAGTTCATGATCTGAGACAAAGTTGGACACTCATCCAACTAAGCCACCCAAGAGCCCTTATTTATTTATTTTTATTTAATGTTTATTTTAGTTTTGAGAGAGAGGAAGAGAGCACATGAGCAGGGGATGCAGAGAGCCTGCTCTCTATCAGCACAGAGCCAGACACGGGCCTCAATCTCATGAGCCATGAGATCATGGCCTGAGGTGAGGTCAAGAGATGGTTAACCAACTGAGCCACCAGGTGCCCCACAAACTTTTGTTTTCTTGTAATGAGAACTAGGATTCCTCCTCTTAGCAGCTTTGAAACATGCAGCACAGTATTGTTAATCCTAGCTGCCGAGCTGTATCACGTCCCCAGGACTACCTTTTTCACGACTGGAAGTTGGTAGCTTTAATGCCCCTCCATACATTTGCGTTGAATGGCGAATAGGTCCACTTGAGCTTATAGTTTCCATTTACCATGGCCCAAACTTTGGAGAAGGTGGCAACTCAGGAACTTAATTAAAATCAGGGTCTCCGAGGCATGCCCAGGTGGTCAGTGGGTTGAGTGTCCAGCTTCGGCTCAGGTCACAATCGTGCAGTTCGAGGATTCGAGCCCCGCGTCTAGCTCTGTACTGACAGCTCAGAGCCTGGAGCTGCTTCAGATTCTGTGTCTCCCTCTCTGCCCCTTCCCTGCTCACGCTGTCTCTTGCTCTCAAAAACAAACATTAAAAAAATTTTTTTTAATAATAAAATAAAGCCGGGGCGCCTGGGTGGCTTAGTCGGTTAAGCATCCGACTTTCGCTTAGGTCATGATCTCGCGGTTCGTGGGTTCGAGCCCCGCGTCGGGCTCTGTGCTGACTGCCAGCTCAGAGCCTGGAGCCTGTTTCAGTCTGTGACTCCCTCTCTCTCTGACCCTCCCCTGCTCACGCTGTCTCTCTCTCCTGGAAATAAATAAAACATTAAAAATAATAATAATAATAATAATAATAAAATAAAGCCCTCAGAGACCCAAAACCTTCACCTTTGGAAATGAAGACCCACAAACAGTCTGAAAAATAAACCGGGCCTCTATTTCAAGATGTGAGAGGTTTGCTAAATGGAACGGATGACATTCTAAATGATGAGCAGTATGGGTGATGGAAGTGAATGCTAGATCAGGAATGGCCAACTTTTTCTGTAAAGGCTGGATAAGAAGTATTTTCAGTCTCTGTCACATGCATACAACCCTGTGTTTGCGGGAAAGCAGCTACAGCTGCAGTGGAAAACTTTATTTACAACAATAGGTGGCAGTCTGGATTTGACCCACAGGCTGCAGATTGTTGACTTCTGTTCTAGATGTTTGCTTTTCATTAGCAAAATATTGCATTGAATGGGAGAGACCGACAGTCCTCAAGGATTGCTGGGAAAATATGTGAGAATGGAGTTACAAGTTTAGTTTACATCTCCAGTCCTAAAAGATCAAGAAATTGGATCCCTTGGCTGGCTCAGTCAGAAGAGCTTGCGACTCGATCTCAAGGTCAGGAGTTCAAGCCCCACATTGGGTATAGAGATCGCTCAAATAAATAAACTTTTTAAAACCCAGTAAATAAAAGAGCAAAAAGTTAAGCACTGTGTAAAACCTCTGATCCAAATGAACATTGCCTATGCTTTAGATTTGAATAGAAAACAGTTAATCACCCTGTAAGCTGTGAGGGGTTTTACTCTGTGGTATAGACTCTGACTGTTAAGGAATTTTAGCTTTGTTAGCATGAAACACGGGGACACCTGGGTGGCTCAGTCAGTTGAGCGTCCAGCTCTGGATTTCGGCTCAGGTCATGGTCTCCGGGCTCATGAGTTCAAGCCCCGCATTGGGCTCTGCACTGACAACATGGAGCCTGCTTGGGATTCTCTGTCTCTCTCCTCTCTCTCTCTCTCAAAATAATAAACTTTTTTAAAAAGGAGGGAACAAAAAGAATACAGTGATTTTATTTTCCTCAGAAAATGTACTCAGGGTAGGAGACCCCAGATCAGCTTCTCATCATGTTTCATTATATCATCTTAAGTAATCGCTACACAGAGCACAGGATTCAAACTCACGACCCCAAAGTCAAGAGTCATATGCTCTAGCGACTCCACCAGGCAGGCTCCCCCATGTTTCATTATTTTTGATGTTCCATGAATGGATGGGGTGTTCTAAGTCATCAAATAGAAAAGAGAAGACTCCTGCCTCCATTCCTTGCTAAGTGAAGGACGCAACAAAACAATGATTATGCAACACTCGCTTTTTTGTCATCGCTTGTAGCACAGTTGATACCAAGTGATAATAACTTTTTTAGTTCCACCTACCTGAATTTTGCCTATCATTTATTCTCTCTTAAAAACCAGAGTTTTGACATCTCTGTCCTCTTAGGGATTACCGTGGTACAATGAACAGAAATGATACCTGTACCACCAGCATTAACAGATGTCAGTCAAGCGACTCTTGTGTTTTACAGGAAGGCTTTGTTCGAACTTTCTCTGTGCAAAACATAGTGCAGAAAAATAAATAATGATGATGCTTGCGTCAGCGGTGCCTAGGCTGACGGTGAAACAGTACGGAGAAGGTTAGCCTGGCCCTTGCACGTGGATGACATGCAAAATAGTAGCCAGGGTGGTGTCGTACCATATACCTGCGCGTACCTTAGGAGAGTTTAACCATTGGCTGAGCTGCAAAAATGAAAAGAGGAAAATCACTGTTGAAACATTTTAGGCACTGTCTGTCATTCCAGTGAAAGGGGATCTGACTTAGGAGCACACAGGACACAGGAGCCTGGAATATTCCAGTCCCTTAAAGAGTCTCAGTTCTCAGGGGCCTCTCCACAGGAGAATCTCAAAACACCACATGGGATTCCAGTGTTTTGGGGGGCACCTGGGGTGGCTCAGTCGGTTAAGCATCCACCTCTTGGTTTCGGCTCAGGTCATGATCTCGCGGTTTGTGGGTTCAAGCCCCATGTGAGGTTCTGTGCTGACAGTGTGGAGCCTGCTTGACTCTCTCTCTCCCCCGCTCTCTCTCAAAAATAAATATTTTTTTAATTTGGGTTTTTTTTGGGGGGTCACCTGGTTGGCTTAGTCAGTGGGACGTGCATGACTTGATACCGGTTGTGAGTTGGAGCCACGTGTTTGGTGTGGAGATTGCTTAAAAATAAAATCTTTTTAAAAAGGTGTGTTTTTCACACATCGTGCCCCCAGAGTAGTTCACTGGATGATGGGAGAAACAACTGTCTATGTCAACACTGCAGGGAAAACTGGCTGGCGGGACTTCACGAAGGGCGATGATTAGAGATGTGATTCACAGTGAACACGGCATTCCTGCAGTCAACATATGGGTCATCAAACAGTGGCATTTTGTGTTCCAGTAGCTGCTTGGTGACCAGCCAAGTAGGTGACAAGATTTTAGAGAGACGGCAAAGTATTAAAATTATGGCTGAAAGACATGAACTCTAAAGGCATAGGTATTGATGGCCAGGTTCTTAAAGAAAAGGGAACCCTCCCCTTACCCAAAAGGGATGGCCTTCCGATAAACAGCTCAAAGTCACTCCGAGTGGTTGGCACGTTTCAGGACCACTTGAAAAAACGTGCAGTGTTGGCAGAGTTGCATCGGGTGATAAAGAGCTAGAAGTCAATTCCCTAAATAATTTAAGAAATCACATGAGAAAAATGTTCTCTCTGGGACAGATATTTGTTGCTTCCTAAGATAATTTTGACCACGGGTGAACTTGCCTTTGGATGTACCTACTTCCATTACAAGATGGGACTCTGTTGTATGGTGAGCTGGAGAGGGACAGGGAGAGAGGGAGAGAGAATCCTAAGCAGGCACCTTGCCATCAGTGCAGAGCCTGATGTGGAGCTTGAACCCACGAACCGTGAGACCATGAGCTGAGCTGAATCAAGAGTCGGATGCTTCACCGACTGAGCCACCCAGGCGCCCCAGTTTCTTCACCCATAAAGGAAGCTTGGAACTAGGTCATCTGCCAGAGCCCTCGCAGCTCTGAATGCAGACTTAGGGGACACTGGATTCTACCACTCACTGCCTTCTTACTTCTCTTGGACAGGTATCATGGCCCAGGTGGCAGTGCCTGCCCTGCCCGTGGAGAACGCCGAGTCCTCAGAGAGCAGGATGGTGGTGACGTTCCTCGTGTCCGCTCTGGAGTCCATGGTGAGGTGGTCTGCAGTTCTATGCGTTGTCCCCTAGTCGGACCACTGTCGAAATCACAGAACTGGGCCACGCTCTGATGCTCGGCTTCGGTTCTGTACCCTGTCTGTGTAACTGTACCCCTCTGCATAGAGGTCATGGGCTCGGCAGATCGTTTCAGAGCTGCTTCCTGCATGGTGGAAGTAATTCTATTGGTGTGAACTTTCCAGATCTGAACATTTAATGAAGGCACCTCTGTTCCTTTGTTGGAGAACGTTTTTGCTCTAAATTCAGAAGTAAACCCATAGGCCCTCTCTACCCATCTGTGTAGGTCCAATGTGTAAAATGTACCTCGTGGGTAAAAACATGGTGAGAAACTTACATAACCTCAAAGTATCTGATCGCAAGATACTTACTGATTAGAAAGGGAAAATAAGAACCTTAATAATAGTGGAGAAACCTGAGAAACACCCCTTTATGATCAAGCAAGCAGAGTGGACATCAGTGTTAATGGGACAGACCGACGTCCCGAGCCTCCAGGCATGGGCACTCCGGGAAGGGGCGTCACCATTTCTGTGGCGTTCCTGCCGAAAATGCAGGGCCCGAATCTATTGGGAAAACACCAGGCAAAGCCAAATTCAGGGACATTCTGCAAAATGACTGGGCCGGACTTTTTTTTTTTTCCTTTTTAAATGTTTATTCATTTTTGCGAGAGAGACAGAACACAAGTAGGGGAGGGGCAGAGACAGAGAGGGAGATGCAGAATCTGAAGCAGGCTCCAGGCTCCAGGCTGTCAGCACAGAGCCCGATGTGGGGCTCGAATTCACTATGAGATCATAACCTGAACCTAAGTTGGACGCTTAACCGACTGAGCCACCCAGGCGCCCCTGGGCCAGACTTTTAATAACTGTCCACGTCATGAAAGACAAAGACTGGAAAACCATTTCAGACTGGGGAGACCAAAGATTCAGGACGTCATGTAGAAACTGTGGCCCCGGGTTGGATCATTGACCAGAAAAAGTAAACAGATTTATTCGTTTTTCTTTTTCTGTAAAGAACATTATTGGGTGGGAGCGCCTGGCTGGCTCAGTCACAGGATTCATGACCCAGGGGCCACGAGTTCAAGCCCCATGCTGGGTGCAGAGATTACTTAAAAGTAAATAAACTTAATAATTATGGGGTCAGTTGGCAAAATACCAAACACACACGCAGCTCCCTCTCACACACGTATGTGTGCACGCGCACACACATTCACACCCCAGACCCATCATATTTAAACTAGAAAACCAAAGGTAAAGCAAAATTTTGAAGGCAACCCAAAGTAGACTGAACAACAGCCCCAAAGATGCTCGTGTCCTTGCCCCCAGTGCCTGTGAACGCTCTTATTCGGCAAAAGGAACCTTACAGATGTGATTAAGTTAAGGATCTTGAGATAGGGACGCTATCTTAGGTTATCTGAGGGTGGGTAAAATTAAAAAAAAAAAAACTTGGAATAAGTTTCAAAAGAAAGTGTCAGGATCTGTTTGAAGAGCAAACTAGAGATATTTTACCTGAGAACTGACCACCTTCCTTCTTGACAAATGTTGATGAAGCCTTCCGCCTAGAGGCCCCCTTGTAGGCACTGGGGCCACAAGCTTTGAAAAGACAGAGAAGGTCCTCTCCACACGATCCCATGTCCTATTTGGGGAGGCAGACCCTAGACAAATTCCACATGGATATGTTTATTTCGGTAAATACAATAAAAAGAAGAAGAGGGTCAGCAAACAGATTTGGAGCGAGAACGGGGGTTGTGACGGGTGGTCTCGGGGAGGTCCTGGGCAGTTGCCATTTATGCAAAAGCATGGATGAGATGGAGAAGTAGGCCAGGCTGGGATCTGGTGGCAGAGTGCTGGGCGAGAACAGCTTGTGCAAAGGCCCTGAGGTAGGAACAGGTGTGGTATTTTCAAGGAGCATCAAGAAGTCCAGTAACGCTGCAGCAGGGGAAAGAAAAGAGAGGTGGCCAGAGGTAAGGTTAACAAGGTGCCAGGTGGCCAGATTGTGTAGAGCTCTGGGCTTTGCTCCTCAGTGCTCTGGGAAGCCATCGGAAGGCTCTGAGAGAAGGAGTCATTTGGGGAAGTGGTTCTGATGGGAGATTTCGGTGGTGTGGACTAGGCTGGGAATGGCGGAGGTGGGAAGTGATGGTTCCAGAAGGATCTGTGGAGTGGACAGGACTCAGCAGTTGGGTTGGATGTGAGCTGTGAGGTTTTCTTGGGGAAAAGAAAATCAAGAGTATTTTTTTATTGTGGTAAGATACATAGATAAAGATCACACAATTTACTGGTTTCACTTTTAAGTGCACAGTTCCGGGGCATGAAATGCAGCCACATTGATGTGCTGCGCTAGTCACCGTCCCTCTCCAGAGCTTTTCTCTCTTCCTCAACGGACACTCTGTCCTCATAGAGCAAAATTACCCCCCGCCTACCCCTCCCTATGGAAGGGAAGAAACCCTATGGAAATCAAGGAGAGCTGTGCTGCTGCTGTTGTTAAGAGTTTATTTGGGGGGCATCTGGGGGGCTCAGTCCGTTAAGCATCCGACTTCAGCTCAGGTCATGGTATCACAGTTCATGGGTTCAAGCCCTGCATTGGGCTCTGTGCTGAACATTCGCTCAGAGCCTGGAGCCTGCTTCCGATTCTGTGTCTCCTTCTCTCGCTATCTCTCCTCTGTTCACACTCTGTCTCACTCTGTCTCTCAAAAATAAATAAATGTAAAAAAAATTTTTTTTAAAGACTACTTTTAAGGGGCGCCTGGGTGGCTCAGCCGGGTGAGCTTCCGACTCTTGGTTTTTGCTCAGGTCATGATCTCATGGTTCATGAATTTGAGCCCTGTATCAGGCTCCATGCTGACAGTGCAGAGCCTGCTTGGGATTCTCTCTCTCTCTCTCTCTCTCTCTGCCCCTTCCATGCACTTGCTTGCTCTTTGTCTCTCTCAAAATAAGTAAAATAAACTTTATTTATTTTTTTAATATTTTTATTTATTTCTAGGAGAGAGAGAGAGAGAGACAGCGTGAGCAGGGGAGGGTCAGAGAGAGAGGGAGTGACAGACTCTGAAACAGGCTCCAGGCTCCGAGCTGGCAGTCAGCACAGAGCCCGACGCGGGGCTAGAACCCACGAACAGCAAGATCATGACCTAAGCGAAAGTCGGACGCTTAACCGACTGAGCCACCCAGGCACCCCCTAAAATAAACTTTAAAAACATTTTTTTTAAAGATTTTATTTTGGGGGGTGCCTGGGTGGCTCAGTCGGTTAAACGTCTGACTTCAGCCCAGGTCATGATCTCATGGTTTGTGAGTTCAAGCCCCGTGTCAGGCTCTGTGCTGAGAGCTCAGAGCCTGGAGCCTGCTTCAGATGCTGTATCTCCCTCTCTCTCTACTTCTTCCTTACTCAGGCTCTGTCTGTCTCTCTCTCAATAAACAAACATTTAAAAATTTTAAAAAAATATTTTATTTTTAAGTAATCTCTACTGCCCACACGAGGCTTGAACTCACAACTCTGAGACCCTGTGTCACATGCTCTATCAACTGAGCCCCCCAGGCACCCCTGTTTTCTTATATAATACATTTTTATTTAGGAATACTTTGTTTTTATTTTCATTTTGAGAGAAAGCATGCACGTGCAAGTGGGGAAAAGGGCACAGGGAGGGAGAGAGAATCCCAAGTAGGCTCCACGCTCAGCACAGAGCCCGACACAGGGCTTGAACTCACAAACCGTGAGATCGTGACCTGTGCCACAGTCAGAGGTTTAACTGAGTGAGCCACTCAGGCACCCCAATATTTTATTACTTTTAAGCAATCTCTACACTGAGCTTGGGGATCAAACTCACAACCGCAAGATCAAGACTGGCACACTCCAGCCACTGAGCCAGCCAGCCTCATCCACTCTTTGGTGCCCTTTCTCTGTCCAGAGTCCACCTGTGGCATCACATTGCTTCCAGTCATCAGGTCTCCTTAGGCACCTCTGACAGCTTCTCAGTCTTCCCTTGGTTTTTATGACCTTGACAGTTTAGAAGAGGTCAGGCCTTTTATGGAACCTTTGTCAATCTGGGTTTCTCTGAGGTTTCACCTCCTGTTTGAACTGGGGTTTTGGAAAAAGACTACAGAGGTGAGATACCCCCCCAACCCACCCGATCATGTTGTATCAGGGGCACATGATGTCACTGCGACCTGTTGCTGGTGGGGCTCACCTCGGTCTCTTCATCAGGGTGGTGTGATGGTTTGCTTTATGTGTCAACCCGACGGGGCCACAGGATATCCATTATTTCTGAGGGTGCCTGTGAGGTGTTTTGGGAAGAGATTAGCACTTGAATTGCTGAGCAGAGCAAGGCAGGTGGCCCTCCTCACTGTGGGTGGGCATCCCCCAGCCCGTGGGGAGCCCGAATAAAACAGAGTCCGCTTTCTGCCCAACTGCTTGAGCGGGGACGTCCGTCTTCTGCCCTTGCCCTCCTGATTCTTGGGCCTTTGGACTCAGAGTCGAAATCTATACTGTCAGCTCTCTGACTCTCAGAACTTGAACTTGGAACTGCCCTACCAGCTATCTTGTGTCTGTAGCATGTGGATGGCCTGTCATGGGACTTCTCAGCCTCCATTATCACTTGGCCAGTTCCTTAGAAGGAACCACATATTAGAGAGAGAGAGAGAGAAGGAGAGAGAGAGAGAGAGAGAGAGAGAGATCATCTCTGGTTAGTTCTGTCTCTCTGGAGAATTCCAACACAAGTAGTGTCCGCCATGTTTCTTCATCATCCAGTAACTATATTTACCCCTCTGCATCTGGTTCTCAGGAAGCAGGTCACAAAGTCCAGCCCACGAGTGATGATCCTGTGTTCATGGCCTCTCTCAGTGCTGGTGGGAGTGTAAGCCCCACTGAAATGTTCTTGTAATATGCTTGAAGAACCTTGAAAGAATTTATACCCTTTGGGGCCCATGGGTGGCTCAGTTGGTTGAGCCTCCAGCTTCGGCTCAAGGTCATGATCTCACAGTTTGTGATTTCAA